CCCCCCCCCCCCCCCCCACCCCATTAGGAAGTTTTCGGAGAGATGACCAAGATAAACATTAGCAACTTGGAATAAATATTTGCTGGGTTAACCAAAATGTTGTGTTTTATTATAAAATGATTTTTTTGGCAAGGTTATCTACGTACACAAATTAACACGAGTTTTACTAAACTAATTAGATTACTAAGTTTATTCTTAGGGTTAAATATAAAATAACTCTTTGTACTTAGGGCATTTACACGTAACCTCCTCATAAATTTAACAGCTGTAGTAAGTTTCCCACTTAAAACAAAGTGCAAATATAAATGGACTTTCTAAAATTTATAAAAATATCAAAATACCGTCATTTAGTCACTTAATTTCATTTCAATACTCTTCTTCTACCTCAAAGTTTGAGGCGCAAACCCTTCTCTCTTTATACCTTTCCCTTTGTCTCTCTATACTTTCACACAAACTTAACCCAATCTTTACAAACCCACCACCAACACCACCGGCAAGTCTCAAATCCGACAAGTTTCTATACCTTTACCTTTCTCTTACTGAGATTGTCGATTTGCTTGAACTGTGACATGAGAGATCTCCCATCAACAACACATTATGGCTGCCCAATAGATGAGGAGTTGACCAATTCAATAAGACGAGAATAGCTTGGTGCATAGAGAAATGCTCGACTTATTCTTTGCTTTGAAATATGAGAGCTCTTCAATTGGGGAGAGAGTTGCCGAATGCTATGGATGATGCTAAATTTATGAACCCGTTTGAGACTCAGAATAGGGTCTTATACTTCACCCAAAAAGAAGTTTTGGGGGTGGGGGAGTTCCAATGAGAAATGAAGAGGGTTTTTAGAGGTTGTGTGTGTGTGTGTGAGAGAGAGAGAGAGAGTGGTTGCTGGGTGTGGGAGGCAGGGCTTGAAGAAAAGAAAGACATATCTGTATCAGAGAGAATAGAGAAGAAACATGGGAAAATGAGGGCATTTTAGGAATTTTAAAATATAATTTTGACACATTTTATCTTCAAGTTCAATTTTGAGTGAGTGATTCACACTTTCGATTAAGTTAGTAACGTCCATCCATTTTTGCACTTTGTTTTTAAATTGAGAGGGTTTAGTATAACAGTTAAAATTATGAGAAAGTTACGTACAAAGGAGGAACGGAGGTTAGGACCCTTATTCTTATTAGTATTGAGACTTTGTCAATAGGGTAAGTCTTGGTTTTAGATTTAAAACTAAAAATTACTTCATATCCTATTGTCACAAAATAAAAGTTGGCAGGCAACCTTTAAATGCAACAAGGTTCTACCCGAAATAGACATTAAAATAACGGAAATGTGGGGAAAAAAACACAAATTACCCCCTACATCGTCTATGAACACATATTCACTAATAAGAGCTTTGTGTTTATGCCTCCAGGTGATAACTCCAGACATCTTTCAGCTCAAGGATGGTTGGGTCAAAGTATTCTGCATGGCATTGGCCAAATGGAAGTTTGTTTTTCTTCTTTAATTTGCATATTTCGGGGTTCTTCTGGAGCGCGGCAGTGGCAGCGGAAGCAGCGTCTCGAGGTGTTGTGAATATGTCTTCATAGATATATCGCCAACGTTTCACAGCCAAGACTTGCAGTAACATCACTTGTTTTTTATAGGGGTGTTCCATAAATTCTCCATCCCTATCTTATCAGACTCTATTAATCGGCTACTGGAATGAATAGGGTAGGCCAATAGATGATTTTTTTGTATTTCACAAAAAATTCGGTAGGAATATATAATACCTACAAAATTGTCGTATTCCGACACTACCCCACCCACATATATATATATGATGTATTGATATTTATGCCTTTTTTTGTTGTGTTTTATTGAAAATGTTTATATATTATCAAATTTATTGTGTTTTTTCCGTGTTATTGATTTATTGTATTAGTTAATTGGTGTATGTTACTTAATTAAATTGTTAAAATTAGCCAAAAATTAATAACTAAAAAATACGCATTTATGGAGTAGGAAGATGAAATTTGGGCGATTGTTTTGGAATTCTCCTACTTGAGGATGAAATTCTCCTGCCCGATTGTTTTGGACGAAATTTTGGTAAGAATAGTACACTTGATTGGATAGAATAGGCCAAGAAAAAATTCTTCCATAAAGTATGGAATAGGAAGATGAAGTACCATAATTTCTACCCGTAGGATAAAGTGAATACTTCTAGTTTCCTATTTTTTGCCCCATAAACCCACAAAGTTCTTAAAAGGATCATCAAACCATAGAAGGAATATTTATAATATAATATAAAATATGAGAGACTTTAATAAACTAATTCGACGGTTGTAAATAAACTCATCTAACGATTACTAAAATCAGTTACATTAATTTACATTACTTCAGACATGGATTACCCTAATTTTTAATATAAGACCCATCCCATGGTACAAAGGGTGTTCCTCATACCTCAGCGTATAAAGAGCTTTTACCTTGACCGATGCCATAACAATCACATTTATGCCTATGCTTACGTGATTGTTCCTTCTTTAACTAAGGCATGAAAACGCATGCATGGCATACATATGATTATGCTTGGGCGTGCATCCGAGTATGCATTAGGGGAAAGAAGTCATTGGAGGGGAAAGAAACTAGTCGTTAGATAAAAAGGTTTTTGCATGCTACAAGCCTCATGGTTATATTAATTAGTGGAACATTAAATAAGGAAGCACTATGAACGTAATTTTTTCAAAGTATTTATAAAAGAAATCTTGGCAAACATATTAAAATGGGCGAGCTTATAAGGAAAATCCATAAATGATTCAACAAATTTGATGCATAATCTAGCAATAAATGTTTAAATACAAAAGTATTGACATAAGTTAACCTCACCATCGCTATATAAACCTAATTTTCTAGTGAGTCATGCACTAGTAAAAACTTTGTTAACTAAGGAATTGCTACGAATGTAATTTTTTAAAAGTATTTATAAAAGAAATTTAGGTAGGGATATTAAAAAATGAGCGTTTATGAGCAAAGTAAAAGCATTAGTTGACAACCAATTGTCGGTAAATAATAGTTAGAAACTAGCTGTTTTTAAGAAATTAGGAGAAACAAGCCATTAAAGTAGAAAGAAACTAGTCATTAGATAAAAAAGTTGTTGCACACTACATGCCACACAACTATATCAATTAGTATACAACTTCAATAAGGAAGTGTTATAAAGATAATTTTTTCAAAGCATTTATAAAAGAAATCTCAGCAAAGATATTAAAAAAGACAAGTTTATGTGAAAAATCCATGAAAGATTTGACAAATCTAATGCTTAATATCGCAATAAATGTTAGATACAAAAGTACTGAATTAAGTTAACCTCACTATTCCTATATAAAACTAGATTTGTTAGTGAGTTATGCAATAGAAAAAACTTTGTTAACTAAAGAAGCGCTACAAAGGTAATTTTTTGAAAGCATTTATAAAAGAATCTCGACAGAGATATTATAAAATGCGCGTTTATGATCAAAGTAAAAATGTTAGATGGAAACCAATTGTTGGGATATAATAACTAGAAACTAGCCATTTTTTAGAAATTAAGAGAAATAAGCCTTTGGAGCAAAAAGAAACTAGACGTTTGACCATCTCCAATTCTTACTCAAACCCTTACTCAAATTTAAATTTGAGTAAAAACAAGCTCCAGTCTTTGACTCAAACCTATACCAAATGAAGGGAGATTTAACTTTTTACTTAAATCAAGACAGACTTAAATATTTACTCAAATCTTCAATTGTTAGACAATGACCATATTTTACATTCCTTTAAATTTGAGTTTTCCCTACTTGAAATTTGAGTTTGTCTATTGGAATAGTCTATACCAAATCAAGTTTTTTACTCAATTTTTTACTCAAATATGAGTTTGAGTTT